TCTTTTGATCACGTAGAGCAGCTCGAAAAAGTGTACGCTTTACCACCGTACGCCTGCACAAGACTTTGTGAACGATAAGAAGCTGTTTCGACGTATTCAAAGGACGTTTAACCCGTCGAGATACTTGGCTAAATACCCGGGTCCATTCAGTCAGCAACACACGTGTGATGTGTGTCTGGACCCATTCCACGAGCGACAACATCTGTTCTATTGCTCTGGGTAGATAGTCGACCGGGGGAAGAATCTCGGGTCCTCGCTAGTTGTTCTTCGGGAATGCCTAGTAAGTCACTCAACTCGGCAAGAGACAATTCCTTCGATTGTTCCGCATTCTCAACTAACCGGCGCTTCAGTTCGACTTCATCGAGAGGAAACAGTCGGTCTTCGAGCTCTTTGTCATATTCTTCTTTCTCTTCAGCCAGCTCGGAAGGCTTACCTTCTTCCAACGTATCTAGTTCCTCTTTGGTGAACACCCTCGCGAAGGAAGGCTCCTTCTCCGGTTCATTCTTTGGGGACTTAGTACTGGCGACGTCCTCAGAGTCCTTTTCGGAGGCGTCGTCTCTCTCAGGAGGGGTCACGTCTTTCTCCTGCCCGCGTGGGTCCGCCTTTGGTACTGGAACACTAGCTTCGGTAGCTCCATATTATTCTCGGGTTGGGCTTTCGAGTACCTCCGTCACGTCTGGGGGTAACTCCTCCTGTATAGGGCCGTTATTGGACTCACCTTTTTCCTCGTCTTGATCGAGCACGCTCGAAACCACACTCTTGTGGTTCGTTGACGTCGACGGGTAGTCTCGCTCCGTCGAGGACGCCTGAAGTTGCGGCTTTTCCGTCTACCCTTCCTTGCTTAGTTTTTCGTTCGTTGTTTCGATCTCGCTCTCTTGGTCATCTCTCGTAACCACTCTTAGGTTCGTATTGGAGCGTTCGTCGACGTGCGCAGCTATTGTGGGACCGTCCCATACGGGTCCCGAGCCTACCTCTTTTACAAACGATTCTCTCTCCGTCTTCCAACAGTCGTTGGGGTTTGAGACTACCGATACCCCGTTCCACACGGGCGCCGTACGTCCTTCATGCTCAAACGGCAGTATTTCTTCAGTTCTCGTCATATGTTCATTGCTTACGCTCGTTTCATTTCTTTCCGGTAAGGCGGAACTCATCCCACCTCCAACAGGACACACTTCATACCTCTTGGTCGACTCCTCCGCGGAGTTCAAAGTGTTCCCATTTGTGTCGATCCATAGACAAGAGGAAGGAGCGACACTCCCTTCCCCTCCCTCTCGCCCCCATCATTGCTGGCTGGGCGCTTGCCCTTGGACAGGTCCCACCGTTGCCCCTGTCGGACCGCCAAGTCTCTTCAGTGACGTCTTTAGAGGGCACTCCGCCAACATGTGACCCGATTCATCACACAGGAAGCACTTGCGTCCGTTCCTCGGCTGGGTGTTCCGGAATCCGCTAGGAGGGTCACGCTCACATTTAGGACCGATGTGACCCACTTCCTTACAGTGAGGACAGGTGGCTTTGCCGCGGCGACAGTGAATACGACTACACCCCAGAGTGTGACACCGACCGCACACGAGAAGACCATCTTGGGTTCGCAAGTCCGGACCCACACGAACGCCCCTGATAGGCGTAATAGGAAGCGTTCCGGTAGGCTGATAGTGCAGAGAGGGGTTCGGATCAGGAGGAGAATAGGCAGCAGCTACATTCATCGCTGGGGAAGCATAGGCGGTCGTTAGAGGACGCTCCATCAACTGCTGTTGCTGTTGAAGTTGTTGCTGTTGCTGCTGAGCGAGTAGATTCTGCGTCTGCTGCATCATGTTCATCATGCGTTCGAGGACAGCGTTCTCTTGGGAAGTTTTAGGGGACGGCACATTGTCGAACTCGGAGTCGTCTTCAACCGGACGGTGCATATTCTTAAGGAGCAGCATGGCCACAGCCGCAAGGATGGAGTCAATCATTGTCGTGGTGAGGGCGTTCCTCCAATCTCGGTTCCGAAGTCCAGACAAGAAGTACTGGTAACGCATCTGAGTGTCGTAGCACTGAGCATCATCGCAGAGACTTAAAATCATGTCGCCCCACACTTCGGCCATATCATTAATTAATTTAGCCCGATTACGCAATCTTTGAAAAATATAATATCGTATTAACTAATATTAAGTTGATATTTAATAATATCATATTGTCTCAGAGGAAAATATTAGGTACTCTTTTTTATATTAGCTGGTCTACAGGTGATATTTTTACAATATTAACTTCACCGATTTTGGATTGAATACTGGTCTTGGCTTCACAGCACATGTGTACAAAGATCAGTTGGCAATTTTCCCCGTCAGACATTAGTCACATAGCTTGATGGCCAAAATGACAACCAAGTCAAGTTCGAGAGCTCTCTCCATCCTGAAAGTGCTGGCTGTAGTCACACTATTGACAACCCTCAACGCTGTCTCTGCCTCGACGTCCACGAAGGTCAACACGCAGTTGCATGCTCTACACTTTGATCGGAACGACGTCTCCTCTCACCGTTTCTTGAGAGCGGCCACAGTCCAAGAAGAGAGGAAGCTCGGTGTAAGTCTCCCAGGTCTTGGACAGGCCGCAAGCAGCACCAAGGCCTGGGCTGCCAACCTCATCCAGAAGCTCCAGTTAAAGTGGTGGCAACTACGAAAGAAATCTCCGAATGATAAGCTAAAACTGCAGCAGGCAGAAAGCAATCTGTTCGAAAGCCCGACGTTTACCAAGTGGGTCACATACGTCACAAAGAACAGCAAGGACACCCCGGAGACGGAAATCTTCTTGACACTGGCATTTCACTACCGTGACGCTCCTCTGGCCAAGATGTTGGCTGCAGCTAAAGAAGTCGACAGCACGAGAGCTCTGGCCTCTAAACTGGAAGGAATTCAGTCCTCTCGTTGGATTGAGGCGGTAAATCCCCCGCCGACGTATTCACATTGCTGGCGCTTGAGAAGGCCGGCGTGCATGTCTTTTCAAACCCTCAATTTGCCAGGTGGACGAACTACATCGCTCAAGCCAAGACGGCAGACGCAGACGCGTTCATTTACCGAACTTTGAAAACGTACAACAGCGATGATGCTCTGGTCAAGATGTTTGCCGAAGCCAAAAAAGTCGACATCACCAAGGTCCTGGCCACTAAAATGGAAGGGCTTCAGCTTTCCAGCTGGGTTAATGGTAAGAAATCGCCTGACGATTTGTTTAAGAGTCTGGCGCTTGACAAGACGGGAACAAAAGCCTTTGAAGCTCCTCAGTTTGCCAGATGGACCGACTTCATCGCTCAAAAAAACACGAAAAACCCGGACATGGCCATTTACATAACACTGGGAACCCACTACAGCGACGAGGCCCTGGCCAAGATGTTCGCCGCAGCTAAAGTAGCTGACGCTGCCAAGGCTCTGGCTACTAGAATGGAGGGGATTCAACTTACCAACTGGGTGAATGGCGAGAAATCTCCTGATCAAGTCTTCAAGATTCTTGGGCTCAACAAGATGGGCGCAGAGGGATTTGCAAACCCTCAGTTTGCCAGGTGGACTGAGTTCATTGCCACGGCCAGCACGAAAGACCCAAACGTCGCGATGTTCACCACTTTGGCAGCCAATTACAGTGACGACGCTTTGGCCAGGATGCTTATGGCGGCCGGCATGGTTGAGAGCACGGAGAATCCGGCGGCAAATTTGTGTTTGCTGCAGTTTGAGAAATGGTTCAGCCAGGGCAAAACTCCCGCGAGTGTTAACACCATTTTGGGTGTAACCAACAACAGCGATGATCTCACTAAGAAAATTTCGCGAGACTTTGAGAAATTCTACGGTAAGAGAGAGGAGCCACCGGCGGGCCCTTCTTCGCCAATCAATTCGTAAGAGTAGTAGATCACTGAGCATTTTTTTTCTTTAATATTTTCGAAATAAATTGTTTGACGGGTTCTGCCAATTTATAACTAACCGAGCGCCGCAGCTACGCGGCGGTAGTTTAGGTTTAGCTCTACTTGCTTTGGCCTTCCCGCCTCCGCTATGTTTCGGCGGGATAACTATTGAAAAAAACCGCTGAACTTAAATCGTTTTTTTTTTAATTTCGTTAATTTGGGTCTGCATCATGCTTACCTGATTTAAGAAATAATTATTCTAATGATCTTGAATCAAGATTCTTGATGTAATCTCTTTTTTATTGCTGGCTATCACTGTATCTTCATCTTCCACCCAAAACCACCAGCACTTCAAATAACATTTATACAAACGCTACACAATATGTTTAGTTCAGCGTCGTGCTCGATATCACGGGCCATTTCTGAGCTCGCTATGAAACTTAGCTCACATCAGCGCAAAAGATAGTAATGGTCTATCCAGCTTGTACTGCCTATTTCAGCTTGTAAGTAACTAAAGATTGTTCACTTCTCATATCAAACTCAATGAAAGATATAAATTAATTCAAAACAATTAAGAACATAGTATTACGTAAATTAATAGTATGGCCTAAAAAAAAAACATTCCCACGTGTACCTTGCAGCATAGGAAACGA